GGGTCGGGGTGGGGGTCTGCTGGGAGTTAGGGCGTGGAGGGCTGTGAGAGTTCAGGAGCCAGGGCTGCAGCCCAGGCTCTCTCTGCGTGCGTCCCGGTCCGAATTCCCGGTCCACACAGCCAGAGAGGCGCGGGTGGTCGCTCGGCTGCAAGCCTGGGGCTTCTAGCAATAGGGTTGGAGAAGCGGAGGCCGGACAGGCGCGGGCGGGAGCGGAAACCCAACAGTTTTTCTGGGAATTGGCTGTGGCGGGGGTCGAGGGGGGTGGATCTGAGAAGCCCGAAGCGCCCCAGGCCACGGTTGAGAGATGCGGGGGAAGTGAAAGCAACTGGTCACCTGGGCCGGCCGAGGGCGGGAAACCTGATCTGTGGGGTGAGACCAGCCGCACGACCAAGGCAGACAGAGTTTGGGGGACAAGGGCGGACACTAGCCGTCTGGGCACAAGGAACAAGCGCCCTCTCGGCTGGGACGGCAGGTAGACCCGCGTGGAATGCCACGAATGCTGCCTTAAACCCGGGGCCATTTCAGCCGCTTGGTCCGCCTCTGCCCAACCATCTGCATGGAATGGTCTCGGTGTCCCCGTAGAGTGGCACAGATTGGGGTCGCCCGGATCGGAAGCGGAGAACCCCTCGTCTCCCGCGTTCTGAGGCGGAGTTGTTTCACCATCGAGATTACTTGGGAGGCTGAGCCTAGGGGCAGGAGGTGACAGCGCAACGTGATGCAGGAGCGGCCGGGAGGGTCTGCGCTGCTGGGCTCTGCGCTCTCTCCAGACCCGGGTCACCTTCCTGCCAGCCGAGAATCCCTCTGTGATGCGGCCGGGCGGAGGAGGGGCTGCTCCGCCCCGACCTCGCATCTAGGGTCCCTGAAAGCTGTCTCCCCTAGCCAGCCGGTTACGGCAGGGAGGAGAGATGGTCACTTTTCCTTTAGGGTGTGCCTTAGGAACGGGGCGACCTCTTACAGTAGGGGAGACGATGGCAAACCGTAGGAGCACTTTCCACACTCTGATCCTGGGAGGGGTGCTCATCCCGGCGTTCAAGGCGTGGCTGCCTCCAACTCACCCCTCTTTCGTTTGCGGCAAGGCTGCCACGCAGACGCTGTCTCACGCCTTTGAGCATTGCTTGTGAGTTCCCTCCGCCTGGAATGCCCTTCCCCCGTGCTCCCCAGGCCTCAGCCCAGCCCACGACCGAGCCTTTGTGTCCCGCCACGCCCCACCCCACCCCACTCTACCCTACCCCACCCCAAGCTGGCGCCACCGCACCCGGTTGAACTCTGACCTCCTGCCGCCACCCCTACCTTAGCTCCAGCCCTAGGCGCTTTCTTCCTAGGGTCACTGCGCCCCTAAGAGTGAGAGCTGCCTGAGGGCAAGAACCGCATCTGGTCCCACTAGGTGCACAGTGGACATGAGGTTTGAAAGGAGCGTGGACCGGAAGGTAGAGAAGGGCCAGGCCGGTGCCTGCGCTTTTTATTAATCCAAGGCCGTATGCAAACGAGATGCAAATGAGCCTATGAAACTGCGCGTCGGACCCTCTCACCATCCCACACACTCGGTCCTGTGCTGCCCCCCAGACACTGAGAAGCCACCGCTGTCGCCGGAGCACTTGGAGCGGCGCCCCCAAGCTCCGACCAAGAAGCTGCGCAAACCGAGGACCATTTACTCGAGCCTGCAGCTGCAACATCTAAACCAGCGTTTCCAGCATACACAGTATCTGGCGCTGCCCGAGAGGGCCCAGCTGGCCGCGCAGCTCGGCCTCACCCAGACCCAGGTGGGGCCAGTCTCATCCTTCCTGCACGCTAACCATCCCGAAGTGTGTTCTCTGGGAACTCACCTCCTAGGTGGGAATGACTGATGAGTCCCCTAGTCCTGTTGTCACAGTCCTCCAGGGTGTGTTTATAGCTGGCCCTCAGTAAATTGGGGGGAATGTGTTAAAAAGTGTGTGTATGTGGAGGGAGGGGGGTTGGATTTAGGTGGAGGAGGATACCCAGACTGGGAGAACTGGTATTAGCTCTGAGGGAGGAACTCAGGGGCTTCCCCGGCTAATGGAAGGCTGGGAGCAAGTGTTCCCAGCCTCTGCTCTTCTCCCAGGACTGCTCCGTACCACTGGGTCCCTTTCCTTTGGTCATGTCCCTCCACACGTATGTTCTTCCTGATCTTCCATTCTTTCCCCTTTTTTTCCTAAAGGTAAAGATCTGGTTTCAGAACAAACGTTCCAAATACAAGAAGCTCCTGAAGCAGAACTCTGGGGGGCAGGAAGGGGACTTTACTGGTAGGCCCCCCTCCCTGTCTCCCTGCTCCCCACCCCTTCCATCCCTCTGGGATCTACCCAAGGCAGGGGCCCTGGCCACTGGGGGCTATGGCAACAGCTTTGGAGCCTGGTATCAGCATCACCCCCCGGATATTTTGGCTCCACCTCAGATGATGTGATCCTGGGGAAGGGCAGGTCGGGCAAAGCCCCTCCTACAAAGCCCAGGACCCCGCCCACCTGCACCTCTTCTGGGCCAAGAGAAAACCAGCTCCAGATGGGTTTTCTCAGGAGGACAAGGATCTAGAGGAGAAAAAGGATAGGATGGAGTCCTGTCCCCCTTGCCACATAATCCAAACAGCCTAATCAAGGACTTCGGTCTTAGCTACTGCCCCCACCCAACCACTGCCAAGGACTAGACAGACACCTCTCTAGCTGGTCAAAGGCTCCGGAGAGTCATCAGCTGGAGTTCAGGCTGCTCCCAGAACCCTTAATCTTGCCAACCCTTCCTTGAAAGGACTACAGTCCCACCACAGCCTGGGGTTGAAACCAGCAAGAAATACCGCGTGTTTTTTTCTTTGTGTGCTTTGGGCCTTGCCGAACCCATTTGTGAGCAAGAGCAGAAGTGGAGTGGATGGAGGTCTTCAAGTTGAGAGAAGGATGCTGCAAATGTGGAGTTTGTAACCCTATGTGTAATTTATGCTCTCCTCCTCAAAAAACCCTCTTTCCCCTATGTCTATCATTTTGAGTAGATAATGGATCCAATTATCCAAATAATTCAACTGGTATTTATTAAAAGCCCCTCCCCCCACAACACCTAACAAGCCCATATGCACGTACTCTTGGGAACACAGCAGGGTAACACTTTGGGCAGAGTGGGGACAAACAGTCTCTCTGGATGAGTTAAGTAGAGACACCTCAAATAGGTGCGGTGGGTCCATCGATTCAGTTCCCCATGGCTGTCTATGGCTAAACAAACTGCTCACATTTATAACCGATCCGACTAGCAGCCCCAGGTTCTTACCACCCCTCATACCATGAGCTTCCAGAGATTAAAGTTTGTACAAAAACCTGGGCCCTGGCTGTGAGACGTGTTTGTTTCCTAATTTCTGAGGCTGGCTGCTCATCTCTCTTCTCTCCCATCTGAATCTTCCAGCTGTGAGCTAGAGGCACTGGATCCTAGTTTTGCCTCTAACCTTAACTAACTCTGTGGTTCTAGCTCTGGAATGTTCTAATAAAGTCCATATTTTCATACACTCCATTGTGAAACCGAAAGATGCTACTTCTGGGAATGACCAAAGTCTGAACGGTCCTCCCCAGCCAAGTCTCTCCTGGCCCAGTTCTGGAGGGAGCCGGCACCACACAGCCCAGGGAGACCCCTGCTTACCTTGGGAGAGAACATGCCCACTGAGCCAATCCAGCCCTCCCCTGAGAGAAGTGTGCTCCCTGGGGGTGGAAAGGCCCCGGCCCACCTAGGAGAAGAGGGAGGAGAAGGTGGAGAAGAAAACCCAAGAAGGAACTGGACTTCTCCTTCACCCAACAAATATTTGTAGAGCCTGTGCTCTGTTAGAGCTCCAGTATGAAGGTGACCTAGGTAGACCCTGCAGGCAAACAGGGGAGCCAAATGGCCAGCTGCTGTGTGGTGCCAGGCTCAGGGAAGTACAGAAGGCAGTGTGGGCATAGTCAGGGGGCTCCAACTGGATCTGGATCCATTGGTAGATTTATGGCCACCTCACCCCACACAGCACCCAGCGGTAGAGAAGGACAGTCAATAATGCAGGGAATCCAGCCCAGCTTGACCTGAGAGGTTGGGGGAAGGGCTCCCCAATCCACCTTTCCTCTTACTGCCTAAACCTGTCCCTAGGTACTGAGGGCCTGCCCCATCTGGAAAGCTCATTCAGGCACTTTGAGCCAACCCCATTGGCCAGAGAGGGGCCCAAACTGGAGTCCAAATTGGAGTAGGGCAGGAGGGTGTGAAATTCAGTGGAAGCCCCCCACTTTGGGAGGAGTCCTACAATCAGTCCTTCCTGAGCCCTGTTCTGGGTCAGTGGCCACCCCCACTTCCCAAAACATACATGGAGGGTTTTCCTGGGGATGGCAAATGGCATGGGCGGGCCAAAGCCAAGATCTGGGAACAGTGAAGGATGAGGGTGCAAAGAGGAGGAACCTCCTCTTTCTCTTCCTCCCCACCAATGCCTTCCCCCACCCCTGGCTCCCCTCTCTCCACTGGCTGCCAGTGGCCCTGTCCCAGATCACCTCTTCTGGGTCTTCTCTGAGGCCACAGGCCCTCAGAGTGGCTGTTTCTTCCCACTGCAGGTTGCACACGCCTCTTTCCACAGACCCATGATAAGATCTACCCATCTCGGAAAACCTCCAAAGGCGAGATTAATTGGACAGCCCAACACGAGTCACATCATTAAAACAACAGCCCAAGTTGTAAAGTTAAGTAGTAGAAGGAGCGTAATTGCTCTCCCAGCCAGAGGCTAGCTGAGCTGACAGCGTCCCCCCCTTTCCTACCCTCATCTACATACCCTTTCCGGGGGGAATGAGAATCCTTTTCCACTTGGGAGCTGATCCAGTTTCCCTGAGCTCCTGGGTGATGATAGGACTGGAACCCCACTGGAGGAGGTGCCCCATTCCCCTCCCTCAAGCTGTCTGAGCTGTAGAAGGGGAACTTGTGGTTTGTTCCCATGAGGATGCCCCTGGCTTTGGTATCCAAAGAGTCCTAGCCTACTGTGTGACTTTGGGCAAGTGCCTTCACGTCTCTCTGAGCCTCGTTTTTCTCCCCCTAAGATGGGAAGACTAATAGGACATGCTTCGAAGTGTGGTTGTGCTGATGAAATGAGATAGCGCTTGTAACATGCTTGACACGGTGCCTGGAACATAGTAAGCACTTAATAAATGGCATTTATAGCTGCTGTATGATTATCGGGAAGGAGGGGTCATGGCAAGGTTGAGGTAATACCGCCACTGCCATCCATTCACCTCTCCCCTCTGGCCCATCTGTCTCCTGAGAGTAGGGAGGAGGAATGGGGCCGGAGACTGGAGAACTCCACACATCCCTGGTCACCGCCATTTGCGAACAGGACCCGGGCAAGGTCCTGAATGCACTGGGCGTGGAAAATCAGCTGAGACTGAGAAGTGAGACAGGGAGTCCAGGGCACATTCTCTCTCCTACAAGGGTCTAGTGCAGGAAAGCTGACTCGGGGCTTCCCTTCCCTCTCCCCATGTGCTATTTTAAGACATGCTCCCCATTCTCTCCCCTAACAAAATGAGATTCAATTAATTCAATTAAAGCAATTTTGGTAGCAGCTCCTGAACCTTTCAATGTGAGATAATTACAAGCAATTTGCTGCTGTGAAGAGAAAAAGGGCACCAGGGGTCTAGGGGTAAAGGAGGTAGCCCCCTCCCCACCAAACACACACATCTAGAGGGATTCCACACTGCAATCTTAACTGCCCATTGGCCAAATTACTTGCAGGTGGGAAGAGGGAGAACGTGGTGGTGGGAGGGGGCTGGGAAGACACTGAGTGACAGGCAGCCCCTCCCCCGCCCCAAATCCACAGTGCATGTTGGGGGTGGGGAGCTGGTTGTTCCCCGACAAAATGTCTCCATAGCCCTAGCAGCTGATTACTCAGCTCCAAACCTCAGTTGAGTTTGGATGCCTGAACTTGTCTCTGGGATTGTATCCAGAGTCAATGGAATGTTATCCGGGTAGCTGAGGCCTGTGTAGACGGGGCCTTGGAGATCAAGGACTAACCCCCGAACTTATAAGGGATGTGGGTAGAGAGGGGAAAGGCCAGAGAAGGCGTATACTGACTTCCTGCTATCAAGGAGGTGATGATACACCCACTCTCTCTCCTCTCCCCGCCCCCATCTGGTGCTTTCTAGTTCTGCCTGGCGTCTAATCTCAACTCTTTCCATTGTAGTGGTGGCAAATCTCTTCTCACCTTTCTGTCCTCAGGGCCACTGAAGCCTCTTCTTCAGAGAAGTATCCTGCAGGTGTTGCCTACTCCGAGTTCACCTGGGATAACCCTTTCCTTGCCAGGGCTCGTTTAGCCTGGGAGGAGGTAGAGGGGGCTGAGAGGGAATTAGAGGCTAGGAGGCAGGAGCTGAGACAGGGGTGTGGGGATGGGCTTCGGACCTCTGCAAAGCCCCCTTAAATCCTGCCCACAAAGTTTCTGGTTTTCAAGGGACTAAGGTCCCCCTTTACCTGGGAGCTGGGTACCAGGAGGTGAGTAATGTTTTAACAATTATGGTGGAAAAGAAATCACTGACCCCAAAGTATTTGTCTTTCTACCTCTCTTCTCTCCCATCTCTCTCCTTGCTTCTCTCATTCCAGGGAGGGGTGAAGAAGAGCGGCTCTTTCATCTCTGTCTCTCCCCTTTCTACCTCTCCTCCCCCTCTCTGTCCCTTCTCTGAATAGCATACATGACTGTGGGACCTGGGGGAGCCAAGGAGAAATTCTATCAGTGAGTTCCTGGGCAACTGCTGTCTCTTTCCTTTCAAGATGAAACTTAGGGAGTGAAAAGTGGCCCCTCTCCATGCCTCTCCTTCCCCCTTTCCTGGCCAGCCTAGATTGCTTAAAATGGGGGTACATTAAAGACCCTTTCACCCCAAACCTCAAAACACAAAGGTCCCAGACAAATGCACCAAGACAGGCAGATGCAGGGACCAGGCACAAGACATCATAAGTGCACATTTCCACAGAAGACACACACAACGTTCATGGCATACATGGAAGGCAGACACACACAATGGCATACATGCAGTGGGCAGAGCCAAACACAGACACATATGAGCACGTGTGCATGAAGCCTTCCCATAGTTGTACACAGACATATACAGAGAAATACACTCACAGGTTATATACTCAGAGAGAAGCCCAACACAGAGGAATGAATCAAGAAGGAGATGCTCAGGGGCTTAAACGTATTCAGAAACAGACTGAAATTTACACATGAACACAAACTAGCTCCCTGTGTGTGAATGTGTGCGGGGAGGGGAGAGGCTGGGTCTTCTCTCTCTCTCTGTCTCCCCCTCCCTCCACACCCCTTCTCATTTCTGCCCCCTTTCCTGGCTCTCCATCTCCTATATCCATTGTAAGCGGTTGAGAAGGGAGACTGAATGGCCACAGAACCACCCCCACGATTTTATTACGACACATTTTCTTTCTTCCCTGAAGCCTTACTTTCTTTTCCTGAGTTCTAGCAAGAGCTCCTATCTCAGTCCTTCCGGAACATCCCATGGCTCCCAGACATGGCCATCAATTCCAGCCCTGTCACAGGAACCCAAAAGCTGTCCCCTAAGATGTCTCCACTGATCCTTCTACCTCCCTGTCCTGAGAGCAACTCCAGCACCGGGCAGGGAGGAGGGGGACCTGGAATCACAGGGTGGTGAGGACAGCACTGCTCTGCTTCTGCTTGCTGTGTGACCTTAGGCAAGTTACACACCCTCTCTGAAGCTCAGATAATTTCTCTTGCCAAATCGTGTGTGTGTGGAGGTGGTGGTGGTGGGGTTGGTGTGTGTTCACTACCACTTTCCACTCCGGTCTGGGGCTTTTCAAGGCAGAGCTTGTTTCCCATCAGATTGGAGGCTCCCTGAGTACAGGGCTTTGCTTCCCCCATCAAATTAGATGCATTCTGTAGCTCTTTCCAACCCCACAGCTTGATGACTCTCAGATACTCAGCCCCTTTGGCATCCTGGGGGACGTGTCTGGCCAGCCCAGGAAGAGGAAAGGAGTTAGCCTCAAGCTTCCTCCACACATCAAGTTTTCTGATTCAGCTCCTCACAGTGCCAGGCTTTCAGCCTCTCTGGTCCCCAAATGGAGAGATTACTTCATTTCCAGGGGAGGGTGCCACTCTCTGTGAAACATATATGAAATATATTTCTCTCAGCTTCATCTGAACCATCGATTTCAGATTTCAGTTGAATTTTAGATCAGATCGAAGGAAGACTCTTTGGCCAGCATGAGGAGTTCCACTCCAGCCCATGGCCCCCACTGTCTTACCATCCTCACTTCAAGCTGATGAATAATATACAGGCCAAATCATGAGGCCGGGAACATGGTATCTG